GTGTCCCGAGCTGGCAGTCGCGAGCCGTCATCGCAGTCGTCCTCTCAGCTGGTCGGTGGGCTGTGCGGACCAGCGGAAAACCATTTCAATTGTTTAGCCCGTCTAGCTCAGTCGGTAGAGCGCAAGGCTCTTAACCTTGTGGTCGTGGGTTCGAGCCCCACGGTGGGTGTGGTTTTGTGCCTTCATTACTGTCTGTCGATTGCAGGTTTGCGTCTGCGCACTACGCCTTTGAGTGTTGATTTACACTGGGTTTCCACCGAGCAAGAGATGTCGTAGGCCCGTCTGTGCTACTGGCCAACAGGAAAACTGGACGAGATTCCGAGGCTTACGGGTAGGGCTCCGCTAGCTCAGTAGGCAGAGCGTGTGGCTGTTAACCACAAGGTCGGTGGTTCGAACCCATCGTGGAGCGCATATCCGTGTGTCTTCACTCGAGTGATGGACTCAGTCATTTTAAGTTCTCGCAAGCGGGCGCGTTCGCCGACTACGGAGTAGGCCGGACGTCTCACAGCGAGCGTGTTCCCGCGTTTGCGGCGTACAGGTTGGTGTGGGCGAAGAAAGCGGTGACCGGCAATAGCTCAGTTGGTAGAGCGTCCGACTGTAGTGACTTAGTTATCGGATGGTCCCTGGTTCGATTCCGGGTTGCCGGACGTTTCTGATGGTCTTCTCCTTGACCAAAGCGATCTGTCTGCGGTGAACTCGTTCCGTTCGCGGTTTGAGTTGCTGACCCCACCCCCCACGAACAGTGTTGACGGCTGAACCACTCAGAGCTGCCAACCTTGTTCAGGGGGATAGGGGCTTCTCGTTGGATCTTGACATTCGTGCGGTTCCCCAGTTCGCGGACTGTGATCCGCTGATTGCTCAATTCGTATCTCTCCGAACGTTTCTGCCAACCAACTGTCACTCACCAACTTATTTGCATTTCACTCACCACGTCACAGCCCCGCTCAGCGGGCAAGCAACGCCGACGAACCTTCTCAATCGCCGCCTCATCCTCTCGGGTCAAGACTCAATCGCGACGCTTGACTCAAGAAGTCAGCCTTACTGACAGACAGTCTAAGCTTCCCTCATCGGTGTCCTTCTGTCGAGAGTTTGGGAGCGTGTGGTATGGCGCAAAGGCTCTCATAGATCATGGTGACTGGTGACACGGTGCAAAAAAAAGTAAAGATCAAATAAATATTTTTCTTTTCTAAATTTGTCGTGTCACCAGTCACCCCTCACGAGAGCTGTGTCCCGAGCTGGCAGTCGCGAGCCGTCATCGCAGTCGTCCTCTCAGCTGGTCGGTGGGCTGTGCGGACCAGCGGAAAACCATTTCAATTGTTTAGCCCGTCTAGCTCAGTCGGTAGAGCGCAAGGCTCTTAACCTTGTGGTCGTGGGTTCGAGCCCCACGGTGGGTGTGGTTTTGTGCCTTCATTACTGTCTGTCGATTGCAGGTTTGCGTCTGCGCACTACGCCTTTGAGTGTTGATTTACACTGGGTTTCCACCGAGCAAGAGATGTCGTAGGCCCGTCTGTGCTACTGGCCAACAGGAAAACTGGACGAGATTCCGAGGCTTACGGGTAGGGCTCCGCTAGCTCAGTAGGCAGAGCGTGTGGCTGTTAACCACAAGGTCGGTGGTTCGAACCCATCGTGGAGCGCATATCCGTGTGTCTTCACTCGAGTGATGGACTCAGTCATTTTAAGTTCTCGCAAGCGGGCGCGTTCGCCGACTACGGAGTAGGCCGGACGTCTCACAGCGAGCGTGTTCCCGCGTTTGCGGCGTACAGGTTGGTGTGGGCGAAGAAAGCGGTGACCGGCAATAGCTCAGTTGGTAGAGCGTCCGACTGTAGTGACTTAGTTATCGGATGGTCCCTGGTTCGATTCCGGGTTGCCGGACGTTTCTGATGGTCTTCTCCTTGACCAAAGCGATCTGTCTGCGGTGAACTCGTTCCGTTCGCGGTTTGAGTTGCTGACCCCACCCCCCACGAACAGTGTTGACGGCTGAACCACTCCAGAGCTGCCAACCTTGTTCAGGGGGATAGGGGCTTCTCGTTGGATCTTGACATTCGTGCGGTTCCCCAGTTCGCGGACTGTGATCCGCTGATTGCTCAATTCGTATCTCTCCGAACGTTTCTGCCAACCAACTGTCACTCACCAACTTATTTGCATTTCACTCACCACGTCACAGCCCCGCTCAGCGGGCAAGCAACGCCGACGAACCTTCTCAATCGCCGCCTCATCCTCTCGGGTCAAGACTCAATCGCGACGCTTGACTCAAGAAGTCAGCCTTACTGACAGACAGTCTAAGCTTCCCTCATCGGTGTCCTTCTGTCGAGAGTTTGGGAGCGTGTGGTATGGCGCAAAGGCTCTCATAGATCATGGTGACTGGTGACACGGTGCAAAAAAAAGTAAAGATCAAATAAATATTTTTCTTTTCTAAATTTGTCGTGTCACCAGTCACCCCTCACGAGAGCTGTGTCCCGAGCTGGCAGTCGCGAGCCGTCATCGCAGTCGTCCTCTCAGCTGGTCGGTGGGCTGTGCGGACCAGCGGAAAACCATTTCAATTGTTTAGCCCGTCTAGCTCAGTCGGTAGAGCGCAAGGCTCTTAACCTTGTGGTCGTGGGTTCGAGCCCCACGGTGGGTGTGGTTTTGTGCCTTCATTACTGTCTGTCGATTGCAGGTTTTGCGTCTGCGCACTACGCCTTTGAGTGTTGATTTACACTGGGTTTCCACCGAGCAAGAGATGTCGTAGGCCCGTCTGTGCTACTGGCCAACAGGAAAAACTGGACGAGATTCCGAGGCTTACGGGTAGGGCTCCGCTAGCTCAGTAGGCAGAGCGTGTGGCTGTTAACCACAAGGTCGGTGGTTCGAACCCATCGTGGAGCGCATATCCGTGTGTCTTCACTCGAGTGATGGACTCAGTCATTTTTAAGTTCTCGCAAGCGGGCGCGTTCGCCGACTACGGAGTAGGCCGGACGTCTCACAGCGAGCGTGTTCCCGCGTTTGCGGCGTACAGGTTGGTGTGGGCGAAGAAAGCGGTGACCGGCAATAGCTCAGTTGGTAGAGCGTCCGACTGTAGTGACTTAGTTATCGGATGGTCCCTGGTTCGATTCCGGGTTGCCGGACGTTTCTGATGGTCTTCTCCTTGACCAAAGCGATCTGTCTGCGGTGAACTCGTTCCGTTCGCGGTTTGAGTTGCTGACCCCACCCCCCACGAACAGTGTTGACGGCTGAACCACTCAGAGCTGCCAACCTTGTTCAGGGGGATAGGGGCTTCTCGTTGGATCTTGACATTCGTGCGGTTCCCCCAGTTCGCGGACTGTGATCCGCTGATTGCTCAATTCGTATCTCTCCGAACGTTTCTGCCAACCAACTGTCACTCACCAACTTATTTGCATTTCACTCACCACGTCACAGCCCCGCTCAGCGGGCAAGCAACGCCGACGAACCTTCTCAATCGCCGCCTCATCCTCTCGGGTCAAGACTCAATCGCGACGCTTGACTCAAGAAGTCAGCCTTACTGACAGACAGTCTAAGCTTCCCTCATCGGTGTCCTTCTGTCGAGAGTTTGGGAGCGTGTGGTATGGCGCAAAGGCTCTCATAGATCATGGTGACTGGTGACACGGTGCAAAAAAAAGTAAAGATCAAATAAATATTTTTCTTTTCTAAATTTGTCGTGTCACCAGTCACCCCTCACGAGAGCTGTGTCCCGAGCTGGCAGTCGCGAGCCGTCATCGCAGTCGTCCTCTCAGCTGGTCGGTGGGCTGTGCGGACCAGCGGAAAACCATTTCAATTGTTTAGCCTGTCTAGCTCAGTCGGTAGAGCGCAAGGCTCTTAACCTTGTGGTCGTGGGTTCGAGCCCCACGGTGGGTGTGGTTTTGTGCCTTCATTACTGTCTGTCGATTGCAGGTTTGCGTCTGCGCACTACGCCTTTGAGTGTTGATTTACACTGGGTTTCCACCGAGCAAGAGATGTCGTAGGCCCGTCTGTGCTACTGGCCAACAGGAAAACTGGACGAGATTCCGAGGCTTACGGGTAGGGCTCCGCTAGCTCAGTAGGCAGAGCGTGTGGCTGTTAACCACAAGGTCGGTGGTTCGAACCCATCGTGGAGCGCATATCCGTGTGTCTTCACTCGAGTGATGGACTCAGTCATTTTAAGTTCTCGCAAGCGGGCGCGTTCGCCGACTACGGAGTAGGCCGGACGTCTCACAGCGAGCGTGTTCCCGCGTTTGCGGCGTACAGGTTGGTGTGGGCGAAGAAAGCGGTGACCGGCAATAGCTCAGTTGGTAGAGCGTCCGACTGTAGTGACTTAGTTATCGGATGGTCCCTGGTCTGATTCCGGGTTGCCGGACGTTTCTGATGGTCTTCCTTGACCAAAGCGATCTGTCTGCGGTGAACTCTGTTCCGTTCGCGGTTTGAGTTGTTGACCCCACCCCCCACGAACAGTGTTGACGGCTGAACCACTCAGAGCTGCCAACCTTGTTCAGGGGGATAGGGGCTTCTCGTTGATCTTGACATTCGTGCGGTTCCCCAGTTCGCGGACTGTGATCCGCTGATTGCTCAATCTGTATCTCTCCGAACGTTTCTGCCAACCAACCGTCACTCACCAACTTATTTGCATTTCACTCACCACGTCACAGCCCCGCCTCAGCGGGCAAGCAACGCCGACGAACCTTCTCAATCGCCGCCTCATCCTCTCGGGTCAAGACTCAATCGCGACGCTTGACTCCAAGAAGTCAGCCTTACTGGACAGACAGTCTAAGCTTCCCTCATCGGTGTCCTTCTGTCGAGAGTTTGGGAGCGTGTGGTATGGCGCAAAGGCTCTCAGATCATGGTGACTGGGTGACACGGTGCAAAAAAAGCAAAGATCAACAAATATTTTTCTTTCAAATTTGTCGTGTCACCAGTCACCCCTCACGAGAGCTGTGTCCCGAGCTGGCAGTCGCGAGCCGTCATCGCAGTCGTCCTCTCAGCTGGTCGGTAGGGCCAGTGGACCAGCGGAAAAATCCATCCCAATTGTTTCAGCCTGTCTAGCTTCCAGTCGGTAGAGCGCAAGGCTCTTAACCTTGTGGTCGTGGGTCTGAGCCCCACGGTGGGTGTGGTTTTGTGCCTTCATTACTGTCTGTCGATTGCAGGTTTGCGGTCTGCGCACTACGCCTTTGAGTGTTGATTTACACTGGGTTTCCACCGAGCAAGAGATGTCGTAGGCCCGTCTGTGCTACTGGCCAACAGGAAAACTCGGACGAGATTCCGAGGCTTACGGGTAGGGCTCCGCTAGCTCAGTAGGCAGAGCGTGTGGCTGTTAACCACAGGTCGGTGGTTCGGAACCCATCGTGGAGCGCATATCCGTGTGTCTTCACTCGAGTGATGGACTCAGTCATTTTAAGTTCTCGTAAGCGGGCGTGCGTTCGCCGACTACGGAGTAGGCCGGACGTCTCTAACAGCGAGCGTGTTCCCCGCGTTTGCGGCGCTACAGGTTGGTGTGGGCGAAGAAAGCGGTGACCGGCAATAGCTCAGTTGGTAGAGCGTCCGACTGTAGTGACTTAGTTATCGGATGGTCCCTGGTCTGATTCCGGGCTGCTTTCGGACGTTTCTGATGGTCTTCCCTGACCAAAGCGATCTGTCTGCGGTGAACTCGTTCCGTCTGCGGTTTGAGTTGTTGACTCCACTCCCCGCACGAACAGTGCTGACGGCTGAACCACCAGAGCCGCCAACCTTGTTCAGGGGATAGGGGCTTCGTTGATCTTTGACATTCGTGCGGTTCCCCAGTTCGCGGACTGTGATCCGCTGATTGCTCAATTCGTATCTCTCCGAACGTTTCTGCCAACCAACTGTCACTCACCAACTTATTTGCATTTCACTCACCACGTCACAGCCCCGCTCAGCGGGCAAGCAACGCCGACGAACCTTTCAATCGCCGCCCTCATCCTCTCGGGTCAAGACTCAATCGCGACGCTTGACTCAAGAAGTCAGCCTTTACTGACAGACAGTCTAAGCTTCCCTCATCGGTGTCCTTCTGTCGAGAGTTTGGGAGCGTGTGGTATGGCGCAAAGGTTTCATAGATCATGGTGACTGGTGACACGGTGCAAAAAGTAAAGATCAACAAATATTTTTTTCTTTTCTAAATTTGTCGTGTCACCAGTCACCCCTCACGAGAGCTGTGTCCCGAGCTGGCAGTCGCGAGCCGTCATCGCAGTCGTCCCCTCAGCTGGTCGGTGGGCTGTGCGGACCAGCGGGAAAACCATTTCAATCTGTTTAGCCTCGTCTAGCTCAGTCGGTAGAGCGCAAGGCTCTTAACCTTGTGGTCGTGGGTCTGAGCCCCACGGTGGGTGTGGTTTTGTGCCTTCATTACTGTCTGTCGATTGCAGGTTTGCGTCTGCGCACTACGCCTTTGAGTGTTGATTTACACTGGGTTTCCACCGAGCAAGAGATGTCGTAGGCCCGTCTGTGCTACTGGCCAACAGGAAAAACTGACGAGATTCCGAGGTTTACGGGTAGGGCCTGCCAGCTCAGTAGGCAGAGCGTGTGGCTGTTAAACCACAAGGTCGGTGGTTCGAACCTATCGTGGAGCGCATATCCGTGTCTTCACTCGAGTGATGGACTCCAGTCATTTTGCTCGCAAGCGGGCGCGTTCGCCGACTACGGAGTAGGCCGGACGTCCTCACAGCGAGCGTGTTCCCGCGTTTGCGGCGTACAGGCTGGGTGCGCGAAGAAAGCGGGTGACCGGCATAGCTCAGCTGGTAGAGCGTCCGACCGTAGTGTGACTTAGGCATCGGATGGTCCCCGGTCTCGATTCCGGGTTGCCGGACGTTTCTGATGGTCTCTCTCCCTGACCAAAAGCGATCTGGTCTGCGGTGAACCTCGTTCCGTCTCGCGGTTTGAGTTGTTGACCTCCACTCACGAACAGTGTTGACGGCTGAACCATACCCAGAGCCGCCAACCTTGTTCAGGGGATAGCTTTCAAGCTGGATCTGGACATTCGTGCGGTTCCCTCCGGAAGTTCGCGGACCGTGATCCGCTGATTGCTCAATTCGTATCTCTCCGAACGTTTCTGCCAAACTAACCGTCACTCACCAACTTATTTTGCATTTCACTCACCACGTCACAGCCCCGCTCAGCGGGCAAGCAACGCTGACGAACCTTCTCAATCGCGCCTCATCCTCTTCCGGGTCAAGACTCAATCGCGACGCTTGACTCAAGAAGTCAGCCTTACTGACAGACAGTCTAAGCTTCCCTCATCGGTGTCCTTCTGTCGAGAGTTTGGGGAGCGTGTGGTATGGCGCAAAGGCTCTCATGAGATCATCGCGGTGACTGGGTGACACGGTGCAAAAAGTAAAGATCAAATAAATATTTTTTCTTTCCTAAATTTGTCGTGTCACCAGTCACCCTCACGAGAGCTGTGTCCTGAGCTGGCAGTCGCGAGCCGTCATCGCAGTCGTCCTCTCAGCTGGTCGGTGGGCTGTGCGGACCAGCGGAAAAACCATTTCCAATCTGTTTAGCCCGTCTAGCCTGCAGTCGGTAGAGCGCAAGGCCTCTTAACCTTGTGGTCGTGGGTCTGAGCCCCACGGTGGGTGTGGCTTTTGTGCCTTCATCTACTGTCTGTCGATTGCAGGTTTGCGTCTGCGCACTACGCCTTTGGAGTGCTGATTTACACTGGGCTCTCACCGATAAGAGATGCGTCGCAGGCCCGTCTGTGCTACTGGCCAACAGGAAAACCGGACGAGATTCCGAGGCTTACGGCAGGGCCCGCCAGCTCAGTAGGCAGAGCGTGCGGCTGTTAACCACAAGGTCGGTGGTTCGAACCCATCGTGAGCGCATATCCGTGTGTCTTCACTCGAGCGATGGACTCCAGTCATTTTAAGTTCTCGCAAGCGGGCGCGTTCGCCGACTACGGAGTAGGCCGGACGTCTCACAGCGAGCGTGTTCCCGCGTTTGCGGCGTACAGGCTGGTGTGGGGCGAAGAGCGGTGACCGGCAATAGCTCAGCTGGTAGAGCGTCCGACTGTAGTGACTTAGTTATCGGATGGTCCCTGGTCTGATTCCGGGTTGCCGGACGTTTCTGATGGTCTTCCCTGACCAAAGCGATCTCGTCTGCGGTGAACTCGTTCCGTCTGGCGGTTTGAGTTGCTGACCCCACCCCCACGAACAGTGTTGACGGCTGAACCACCTGTGAGCTGCCAACCTTGTTCAGGGGGGGATAGGGGCTTCTCGTTGATCTTGACATTCGTGCGGTTCCCCAGTTCGCGGACTGTGATCCGCTGATTGCTCAATTCGTATCTCTCCGGAACGTTTCGCCAACCAACCGTCACTCACCAACTTATTTGCATTTCACTCACCACGTCACAGCCCCGCTCAGCGGGCAAGCAACGCCGACGAACCTTTCCTCAATCGCCGCCCCTATCCTTCCGGTCAAGACTCAATCGCGACGCTTGACTCAAGAAGTCAGCCCTTACTGACAGACAGTCTAAGCTTCCTCATCGGCGTGTCCTTCTGTCGAGAGTCTGGGAGCGTGTGGT